GACACAGACACACACAGACACAGACACACACACACTCACACTCACAGACACACTCACAGACGCAGACACTCACAGACGCAGACACTCACAGACGCAGACACAGACACTCTCACACTCACAGACGCAGACACAGACACTCACAGACACAGACACTCACACACTCACACTCACAGACACACTCACAGACGCAGACACTATTTATACACGTGAACATGACACGATATTATTAGTATCGTGATATCGCGATAGCAAAACTGTCTCGATATTATCGCGGTCACATGATGATATGAAACAACAGGTCTTCCAGGAAAAAGTGTAGTTTATAAAACAGATAGTTCCGGTCCTTGATTCTGATTGGCTGAGCCGCTTTATTTCAGCGGCAGAGGATGACAGCGCTTCTCTAGATTTGTAGCGAGACGTGTTTTTGTGAGCATGTTTTCACTGAAGCTGGAGTTTCCTTCTAAATAAAAGCTTAAAGTGCAGTTTATGAATCGCTGACAGCTAGCGGTTTAAATGCAGTCCAGACTCACAATATCTCTTTCAAGTGTAGAAATGAGGAAAGAAGTGTTGTAATTTCCCTGCTGTAGTGTAAATACTCATTTTCATTTATTTTACAGTGCAATTGTTTTACAATATGTGGCTATTACTGATATTGTTGTTGTTATTATTCTATTCTAATTTGTTAGGCTTCCTCAAACAGCAGTGTGACTGTAATTTAGACTGAGACACTATTTCACAAATAAAAAGAGGGTTGAGTCCCTTTAAAGTTCAGCTACAAGTCAATTCACTGAAGTTTTCTTAGTTAAGAACAAGGGATGCAGCTCTTAATTTTGACTCTCAAAGTGCATTAGATACAATAATTTAACTTTAAAATGTACAAAATTTTCATTTATTTCCAATTCTTCATTTGTCTTTTTTTTTTAAAATATCACAATAAATATCGTATCGTGGGATTCATACCGCAATATCATCGTATCGTGAGATTATGATATCGTTACATCCCTAAAAAACACTGATTAACGTACTTGTGCAATGATACTATCAGTCGTATCCATCATGCAAACGTAAAGCAGGACACATCTCCTCTACTAAAAGCATTTTGAAAACACCGACAGACACACACACACCCCCACAGACACACACACATCCAACATCAGTAATGTGCTGCCCCTGCAGTTCTTACTCCAGTCTCACCAATAGATGGCGCTAGTGACTACATATATCTAATGCTGAATGTACAATGACTCAGTTCATTAGTTTTTCTCAGTCGCTTTGATATAAATTATATTAATATAAATATAGACGTAAATATTTTCAAAATATATACTGTATGTGTGTGTGTGTGTTTTATATACATAATAAATATACACAGAACACACACATATATTATGCAAACAAAAACTTTTATTTTGCATGCGATTAATCGCGATTAATAGTAGTTTTATTGCGTTAGTTAGCTGTATTTTTTAGTTATTTTTTAACCTAATCAAACTGACCCAACTGCAGTGTGATTGAGATTAATTGGAATGCACAATGAAAAACATGATTTTTGAAAATTGATAAAAACGGAGTATCTGTTTTTGCAAATGAACTCTTCAAATATATCTCGTTCCTTCAACAGAATTTACTTCAAAAAGTTTGCTATTTTGACATTCTTCCCATTCCGCCTTCCAATTCTCCAATATGCATCTGTTGATTCACATCAGAAGGACTGAAAGAGACGTTTAACACTTCTCTGAAAGGAGAGCTCTGAGGAAGTGCTCTATGAGAAAGAGGAAGAGCGTTGAAGATACACACACCCACACCCACCCACAGACACACACACACACACAGACACCCCCACAGACACACACACACACACCCAGACACACACACACCCCCACAGACATACACACACACACCCACAGCAGAAGACGATACTGACAGATCCGACTGCTCTCATCTGAAAAAACTGAACACACACACAATATGACAACTGGATTATTTCAGGTGTATTCATATTTATATTAAGGCAAGACACTGTAGGCAAAACCATTGCTTTTGCTTTCTTCACTTGTCTTCTTTCAGACTAGTGAAAAAAATAATACAAAAATACACATTTAAGTGTTTATTTTATAGTACTTTTTCCAGTTGCATCTGTAAATTTCAATTACAATATAGATTTTTATCTTGAGTTTGTTTCTCCACTACAGCAGCACTTACATACACCAAAGGTTTTTACTGAGGGGTTTGTTCATTTTTCATTTACACTGATTTATACAACATTTTATTCATAAAAACATGGTGAAAATGCATATTTTTAAAGGCAATTAGTTTGTTTCTCCACTTCAGCAGCACCAAAACTTAGAGATTTTACTGAGGGGTTTGTTCATATTAGTGGTCGACCGATATATCGGCCGATATTTGGAACTTTTTCAAATATCGGCATCGGCCGATCAGTTTTTCTGTTTGGCCGATGTGTTCGAGGAGGGAATTGTATTTTGACGGCGCGCTGGACTTTTTTGACGGCGCTGAGAGCACACTGCTCACATTCTCCCTTTTGTTCGCTGTCTTCGTTCAGTTCTGAAAATTATATCGGCTTTATATCGGCCACCCTGCTTTCCAAGATATCGGCATCGGCTGTCAAAAAACCCATATCGGTTGACCACTAATTCATATATTACTCACACTGATTTATATAACATTATTTTCCTAAAAACATGGTCAAATTCGGTACAGCAGGAGGAAAAAATACTAAACATACATATATATATATATATATTTAAATTAAACAGTTTTACTGAACAAATAGCTCTTTCTTTAAATAAATTCAATTAGAATTAATTTTCTTTAAATCTACCTCATAAAATAATTTTAAAAAATCTACCTCTGCACTAAACTATAGGGAGCCCTTTTACATTAGGCCTACTATAAGGTTACAATTAACAAACTTAAATTAATTACCATTTATTTTTAACTATAATAATCAACACTCAAATTAACAAATTGTATGCAGACATGTAAACTGCACTCAATGCAGTTTTTAAATTAATTAAAAAATTAAACAATTTCTATTTGTTGTTGAAATATAATAATTTAGGCTACACAGTGGCTGTCATAACTTGTTTCATAAAACATTTATTTAAATATAGCCTACATTAAATAATTAAGACGTCACTAACAGGTAAAGTAAAATATAATGAGTAGCTATACACAATTAACAAACTTAAATTAATTACCATTTATTTTTAACTATAATAATCAACACTCAAATTAACAAATTGTATGCAGACATGTAAACTGCACTCAATGCAGTTTTTAAATTAATTAAAAAATTAAACAATTTCTATTTGTTGTTGAAATATAATAATTTAGGCTACACAGTGGCTGTCATAACTTGTTTCATAAAACATTTATTTAAATATAGCCTACATTAAATAATTAAGACGTCACTAACAGGTAAAGTCAAATATAATGAGTAGCTATACAGTCTAATATTTCACGAAATGCTCTTCTCTAGACTTCATTTCTCTGGTGAGCTAACGAGCTGTAGACACTGATGACTTGCCTGAGGTTAATTAAATGCTGTGACATTTTGTTTACAAGCCGTTTTAATCACATCTTTCCGAGTCTAATATTTCACGAAATGCTCTTCTCTAGACTTAATTTCTCTGGTGAGCTAACGAGCTGTAGACACTGATGACTTGCCTGAGGTTAATTAAATGCTGTGACATTTTGTTTACAAGCCGTTTTAATCACATCTTTCCACGATTGAGCGATTACATGAGGCATGAGATGTTCATTCATGTTTATTTCACATTAAAAATAGAAGTAAAGAGTAAGGGATGATGGCACTCCGCATGACAAAATGGCATTTATTGTCTGAATTTCCTGGAAAAAATTTAATGTTTTGTTCGGTACACATGCGCACCGATCTGTAAATATTCGGTACGAATACGTGCACCGTTACACCCCTATAATATACCTGTAGCACTGAGCCAGCTGTGCGCCTCCAGGCCAAACAATCCCTCCTCGATGCCTCTGAAGAAGCGCTTGAGGACGTTGGAGACGTCATCCACCTGATGTTCACCTTCCTTCAGCCAAACACATCTGGCGTCGCGTCTGAACTCCTCCAGCAGGGCGGCGATCTTACTGTTCACGCCACTCTTACGGTAGATTCCCTCTGAGGTCAGACCTGCAGGACACACACACACACAACGTCATAGGAATAAAAATCTACCTCAGCTTCTGCTCTAAACTATAGGGAGCACTTTTACATTACTATAAGGTTACAATTAAAAACAGAGCCCAAACTTAAATTCAATTGCTATTTTTTTTAGCTATAATAATCAACACTCAAATTTAAAAAAATTAATAAATTGTATGCAAATATGTAAATTGCACACAATGCAATTTTTAAATTAAATTCAAAATTAAACAATTTATATTTGTTGCTGAAATATAATCATTTACACAGCGGCTGTCATAATTTGTTTCATAACACATTTAATTAAACATACATTAAATAATTAAGACATCACTAACAGGTAAAGTAAATAGTCTAATATTTTGCGAAATGCTCTTCTCTAGACTTCATTTCTCTAACGAACTAACGAGCTGTAGACACTGATGACTTGCCTGAGGTAAATTAAATGCTTCTGTAAAACTGCTTTGAAACAATGTGTATTATAACAGGCACTACACAAATAATTGTGATTCGGCTTGAGTTTTCTGGTTAGTAATTCAGTTTATCACTGCTTTCAAGTCCGTAAATGTGTCAAGTGTTTAGTTGTAAATGTTTCTACCATGTGACACACTCTATGCTTTTCCTCCTGAACAGAGTTCTGTCTGACAGTCACATGATTCACAGACACATCAGTCCAAGTGAATCATGAAAATGAATCAGACGTCTGCAGGGACACATTTACTGTCGTGGTTTCATGTCATCATCTGTTAAGTAAAGTGTACATCTAGGAGCTCGTTAACTCTCAGTATGTGAGCTCACTGTTTAATACTAGTTAGTTAGATAAAGATCACATGGGAGTGTGTGTGTGTGTGTGTGTGTGTGAGTGTGTGTGTGAGTGAGTGAGTTATCTCTGTCAACAGTCATTTGGCTTAATTTGCCCCTGATTCTTTGGACAGAAAGTAAGACATGATTGAAGATTATTTCACAAAAACACACAGATTAGAAGAAATATAAAACAGAGTAGAATAGAATTAAGCAAGGTTGAATATAAATTAGAAATCAGTTGAATAGAGTCAAACCAAGTAGAGTTGAGAAGTTTAAAATGAAGTAGAACAAAGCTAAATCAAGCAGAAAAGAACTGAACTGGGTCAGAAAGAGTTAAATAGAGTACAGCAGAATTGAAGTGTAGAATAGAGTTGATTGGAGCAGAACAACTGAACAGATTTAAATGGGGACAAACAAAGCAGAGTTTAGAAGATTAGTATGGAGTAGAACAGCTTTATCAAGTAGAAAAGGACTGAATTGAGTCAGAAAGAGTTAAATAGAGCAAAGCATAATTAAAGAGTGTAGAATAGAGTTCAAAAGAGCAACTGAGAATGGGGTTTAAACAGAGTTGAAAAGATTAGAATAGAGCAGACCAGCTGAATCAAGTAGAAAATAACTGAATTTGGAAAGAAAGCGTTTAAATTAGTTGTAAAGCAGAATTAAAGAGAGTAGAGTTGAATAGAGCAGAACAACTAAAGAGATTCGACCGGGGTCGAACAAAGTAGAATTTAGAAGATTAGTGGAGTAGAACAGCTATTTCAAGTAGAAAAGAACTGAACTGGGTAGAAAGAGTTAAACAGAGTAAAGCAGAATTCAAGAGTGTAGAATAGAGTTGCACAGAGCAGAACAACTTAACAGATTTAAATGGGGTTGAGAACTAGAATTGAGAAGTTTAGAATGAAGTAGAACACAGCTGAATCAAGTAGAAAATAACTGAAATGGGAAGAGTTGAATACTGCAAAAGCAAAATTAAAGTGTAGAATGGAGTTGAATAGAGCAAAACAACTGAACAGATTTGAATTGGACTGAGAACTAGAATTGAGAAGATTAGAATGAAGTATAACATGTTGCATCAAAGCATAGCTCAATAGCTTAGTACACATAAGGTACATAAATGTAGTTTCATTTGTCTGAGTACAAGGTTTTATTTTTAAATTTAGCACCGTTTTGTCTCGCTTCTCAAGAATCAGTGATGTGTGTGTGTGTGTGTGTATATATAAACCTACTGTGGTAGGCTAACCGGGATTTGTCAAAGCACTTGCATATCATTGCTCTTTTGTTGGTTTTGATTGCTTCTATTGTCATCATTTGTAAGTCGCTTTGGATAAAAGCGTCTGCTAAATAACTAAATGTAAATGTAAGTAGAATGTATGGTCAGAAAGAGTTGAATAGAGTGCAGCAGAATAGAGTTGAGTACCGTATTGAGTGGTGAAATGAATGCAGCGCTCCACGATCACGGGAATGTCGGCCTCCGTCAGCTGCTGCTGACTCAGTGTGTCTCCAGAACTCCCAGCATTCCTCTGGATGGCTGCCGCCCAGCCCTGGAAGTCCAGCTTCCTCTCGCCCTCGATGTACAGCGTCCTGCGGGGAGACGTCCTGTTAGTCAGCATCCGCCCGCTGTCACAAACACATGAGACTTAACCGGGTTAACCTCGACCTGCTCACCTGCCTCGCTCCACCAGAACCAGAACCTCATTCTCCGGCTGGATCGCTGCACACGCGCACACACACACACACACACACGCACACAAGTTCAGTTTAGAGTCAACACACCGCTTCACAGCAGGGTGACCCTAGTAAAAAAGTTATATATTTAATATACATTTATTTCACTATCAATTTTAAGTATAGTTCAAATATCTATCAGTATTTTTGCTTTGGTGGTTTATTTTTGCTGGTATTGGTGGCATTTTTGTCTATTTTGGTGGCATTTTGTTGGTTATGGTGTCATTTTGTTGGTATTTCTGCTGATTTTGGTGGCCTTTTTGCTGTTTTGATTGCATTTTTGTTGATTTTTGTCTATTTTGGTTGCATTTTTGTTGATTTTGGTGTTATTTTTGTTGATTTGGTGGCACTTTTGTTGATTTTGGTGTTATTTTTGTTGATTTAGTGGCACTTTTGTTGATTTTGGTGGTATTTTTATTGGTTTTTATGTAATTTTTGTTGGCATCTTTGTTGTTTTGATTGCATTTATGTTGTTTTTTTGGAGTGATTTTTGTCTGTTTTGGTGATGGTTTGGTGGAATGTCTGTTGATTTCAGTGGTATTTCTGCAGATTTGGTGTCATTTTTGGTGGTATTTATGGTGGTTTTTGTGTCATTTTTTGCTGATTTGGTGGCATTTGTTGATTTTGTTGGCCTTTTTGTTGTTTTGATTGCATTTCTGTTGGTTTTGGAGTGATTTTTGTCCATTTTTGTTGGTTTTGTTGTCATTTTTGTTGATTCTGTGTCATTTTTGTTCATTTTGGTGGTATTAATGGTGGTTTTGATGTCATTTTTGCTGATTTGGAGACATTTTTGTTGATTTTGGTGGTATTTTTGTTTATTTTGTAAGCATTTTTGTTGATTTGGTTGGCTTTTTTGTTGTTTTGATTGCATTTCTGTTGGTTTTGGAGTGATTTTTGTTGATTCAGTGTCATTTTTGTTCATTTTGGTGGTATTTATGGTGGTTTTGGTGTCATTTTTGCTGATTTGGTGTCATTTTTGTTCATTTTGTTGGCATTTTTGTTGTTTTGACTGCATTTCTGTTGGTTTAGGAGTGATTTTTGTCTATTTTGTTGGCATTTTGTTCTTTTTGTTGGCATTTTTGTTCTTTTTATTGCATTTTTGTTGGCTTTGGTGTCATTTTGGTGGCATTTTGTGACTCACAGAGCTCCAGGAGCTTCTGCAGGTCGATGGTCTCTTCTGCGGTGTGCTCCTCCAGCCGGATGTGCAGACTGGACCCCACCAGACAGAACCAGCCCAGTCTCGACATCTCCCGGTTCAGTCTGTCTTTATAACGCAGCCGGCCGATGCGCTCGAAGTCCTTCAGTAACAGATCCTCCGCAGCCGCGGGAATGAACGACTGTAACACAGACAGACGACATGAAAATGAGACACAGTCCAAACCAGACAAAACCTGTCAAACGGTTCAGAACAGGTGTGACATCACCTTTGCGATGGATTTGACCCACTCGCCCATGGTCTCGGGATTATCAGTGCCGAACAGATACAAGCGCTCGGCATCCGAGTACAGCTCAAACGTGTGATCGTACCTAAAGAAAGAGACGTGAATATTATCAGGCCCTACAGAAGAGAAAGGTGACGGTCCTTAAACACACGCTGTGGGCCAGTTTACCCATGAGTCTCGGGAGCGTTGACAGCCAGACAGACGATCTCCTTCATCTTCAGTCCTCCGTTCGGAGTAGCGTTTTTGTCACTTTCATAGTAGCTAAAATTCCCGTCATTCAGCACACACCAGCGCCGACTAAACTCTAACAGACACAGGCAGACAGAATCGAATCAAATGAAATCAGTCTGAAAACATTTTGCACATAACATTTCAGAAAATCTTCTATTCACTGATTGGCTCACCTTCTTTCCCCTTCTTCTCTGTGATTGGTCGAGCCATGGAGGCGGTCTTAAATAGAAACCCATTATGCGTGACGGAGGGCGGGGCCATGTAGTGCACCCTGTCTATGGCGACCTTCACCTCTGACCTCGGGAGTTCTGTAGGTCAAAAGGTCAAACGTGAGTAAGCGGTCGAATGTCAGAGGTCTTCATTTTAACCTTTAGGGTTGGGTATCGTTTGAAATGTATCGATTCCGATTCTTAACTATTCCTAGTTTTGATTCCAATAAGGTTAAAAGAAAAAAAACATTTAGATGAATGACTAACATCTGCAACACAGATAGTTTTAACAAAAATACCACATCAAAAACAACTAGACTTATATAAATTTCAAATATTAAAGTGTTAAAGACAAGTAAACAGTCAGTAATAAAATAGGAACAATCAATTAGCAATAGCATAAATAAATACAACTAGTGCTGTCAAACGATTAATCACGATTAATCGCATCCAAAATAAAAGTTCTTGTTTACATAATATATGCATGTACTGTGTATATTTATTATGTATATATAAATACAAACACATGCATGTATATATTTAAGAAACATATGTTATGTTTATATATTAAATATATTTATATATAATATAAAATATAAGAATATAAATATATAAATGTATATACACATGTAAATATTTTCAATATATATACTGTATGTGTGTATTTATATACACATAATAAATATACACAGTACACATACATATATTATGTAAACAAAAACTTTTATTTTGGATGCGATTAATCGTGATTAATTGTTTGACAGCACTAATATACAACTGAACCAAATTTCAGGTACAGAAACTGTAATTAAAATTTTAAAACACTGCATAGTTTTCTTTTCATAAATAAAATACAGATTAGTTATTAAAGATATTCAGTCAAGGTCAGTAAAGGATTTTTTGTTCTTTGATTAACATTAATGACAGGCAGCGTGTTTATTAGGCTGATGTCTCTTTAACACCAAACGCACGCAGATCTAAAAATACTGTACATATCTCAGACCTCAAATACATAAAATATTACCCTTTTTAGACATAGTTTTTGAAGTAAAGAGTAAAGAAAATACTATATAAAACTTTATTTACCCTTGTAAGAACCCACCCCTCATTTCTCATTGGATCTAAGCAAATCTCATAGGTGACATATTCTGATCTCAAAAAAGTGAGTCGTCACTGAAAGGTGAGGAGTTTGCATCTATGCATATTAAAATGCGAACGCAGAAATCATTAAGCGGAATCGAAATGCACGTGTCTTATCGAATACCCTTGGAACCTGTTCTAAAATGGAAGTGGTTCTCGATACCCAACCCTAGTAATGTTCTCCGAGGCACACACCTGTGTTGCGGTTCTGCGTGAGGAACTCCAGCTGCAGGTTCTGTCCGTGGTGTTGGGCCAGAGCGATCGGGGAGGGCAGCTCAGGGTCACCGGTGTCACAGCTCACATCTGCGCCGCAGAACACCAGCGCCAGCGTCTCACACACATCGCTCGACTGAACGTTAATGCACAGCGCCTGCGGAGAGAGAGCACGGCTCAGGAATCTACAGCGGAACAAGTGTGGAACGTGCGTGTGTCAAAGACATTCCTGTCAGTCCTCTGCACAATCTGACTTTGCTGCAGCATGGAATTAAACTGCTGGTCTCGTCTGGCACACTATTCCCCTGTTTAATACTGTAAAGCTGCTTTGACACAATCTGCATTATAAAAAGCGGTATATAAATAACGGTGACTTGACTTCAATCAGTGAAACACAAACCTGGTCACAAAATGAAGTCAGATGTTTCTGAGCACATCTGAAACTAGGGCTGCAAGATATTGGAAAAAACTCACATTGCGATATTCAGAGATGCAAACAGGTAAGGGGGAAAAAGATATTTGCTTTACATGCTCATTTGTAGGTTTCGCCAGCGTCTCACACACATCGCTCGACTGAACGTTAATGCACAGCGCCTGCGGAGAGAGAGCACGGCTCAGGAATCTACAGCGGAACAAGTGTGGAACGTGCGTGTGTCAAAGACATTCCTGTCAGTCCTCTGCACAATCTGACTTTGCTGCAGCATGGAATTAAACTGCTGGTCTCGTCTGGCACACTATTCCCCTGTTTAATACTGTAAAGCTGCTTTGACACAATCTGCATTATAAAAAGCGGTATATAAATAACGGTGACTTGACTTCAATCAGTGAAACACAAACCTGGTCACAAAATGAAGTCAGATGTTTCTGAGCACATCTGAAACTAGGGCTGCAAGATATTGGAAAAAAACTCACATTGCGATATTCAGAGATGCAAACAGGTAAGGGGGAAAAGATATTTGCTTTACATGCTCATTTGTAGGTTTTATAACACATTTTTTAACATATTGTTGCATCATTTTATAAAAATCAAGATTGAATGGGTAACACTTTATTTTAAGGTGTCCTTGTTACACGTGTTACATGTACTTACTATTATAATAATTATGCATATTTACATGCAAGTAACCCTAAACCAAACCCTAACCATACGGTAAGTGCATGTAGTTAATTAATATTACTCAGTACTTAAATGTATAATTACACTGTAAGAAGGACACCTTAAAATAAAGTGTAACCGAACTAATATATTTATAATCTAATAAATCTGTTAACTTTTCTCTGTTTTGTTGATTGATTAACATTCAAGACGCCGAAAGCCTCCGGAACATTAAACTGCTGTGAACCAACATACTGTTACACATTCATTTTCTTTCTCAAGTGTTTACCTACACCTGAGCCATAAGCAACTGTGCTTACAAGGGTACTTGCAGAAACATGCATTTTGACAATTGTGCGCGTAAGTGTCATTTCAGGAACAAATAGACGCGGAAGCAGACGGAATTCAGTGTTCACGTGCATCTGCGTGGCTCTACAGAACGCATTATAATCAGTGATGCTGTCTACACTGGATGCTGCGCGACGCGACAAATCCCCGACAGCAAACTGATGCCGATGAGTGTCCGATGCAGAACTGATAGATCGTGCAGCCCTATTTGAAACGACGAATAATGTCTGTTCATACAGAACCAATGCATACAAGAAAAGAGACAGAGAGAATGTAAACAGGCTTAACAACAAGACTGTGGAGTCGCCTGAACAACTAGCTGGTCTAGTGACTAGTAACCCTGGTATAATGGGGCTGCTTTAGGGTCATTTATGAACACTAAACCTTAACGGTCAGCATATAAATATACTAAATTATCCAGATTGTTTTACTGCACAAAACATAAATAGAATCACATAGATAGACAAGTGGATTCAGTATAGTACAAAGTAAGTGCAATGAGATGTATTATTGAATTTGTAACACAAGAGCTGATTTGATGGATGTAGTTTCGAAGATTTTCCTTAAAAAAAATAAAATAATAATAATAATAATGATAAATAAATAAAAAAAAATTATCTAATTTCAATTAATATAGTAATACAAATATTATTATTAAATATTAGTATTAAAACACATACACACAGACATGTTTTAATTATCACAACAATAATAATATAAAAAAAATGAAATACTGTACAGATTTTAAAGTACTTTTAATATTTAATTTAAATGATCAATATATTACGATATTATTAATAATATAATATTATTATTATAGTTATAATTATTAAACCATTTAATACACACATACACTTATATTAGTTTCAATAATGACTATAACATTAATAATATAAAAATATTAACATTAATAATATTATATAATAATATTAACATTGTTGTTGTCACGCCCCTGGACGTTCCGTGTTCCTGTTTCATTGTGTTTTCCTTCCCAATGTGCTTCGTGACCTAGTTTTCCCTCATGTTTGATTGTCAATCCATTCACCTGTGTTCCCTTAATTATCCTTATTAGTTCCTTGTTACTTAAGACCAGTGTTCCCTGTGTCTAGTGTCCGGTGTCTAGTGTCGTCTATGTTATAGTGATTGTGTTTGCCCAGTTCTCCGAGTTTCTGTCAAGAATAAATGTGGTTTCCTTATCCTAAAAAAGGGACCAATCCCTAAATGAGAGAGAGACTGTGTTGTGATTGTGTAAGTGAGAGGGTGTTTGCACAGCTGAAAACCAACCTCCGTAATCACAGCAGAACACACACACACACATGCACTCATACACACACACACACACACACACACTCAGATGGACATAGAGTAAATGAAACCAGACACAAAAACATGCACAGTAATCTGTGTAAACCGCAGATCTTTTAATCACAATCTATGAGTCTCCTTCTCAATAACACACAGACATGAATCAAACTAACGTCCTTCAAACACAAACACACAGACGATAAATCCCAGAAATATTCAACATGCTGCTATTTCAGAAATGCTGAGGTCACAAGGAGGAAGTAGGACAGATACTATTATTCCCGCACAAGGATGTACGATAAGAGTAAATGTGGTAAAGTGTCTCAAAGCTTGCATCAGAGTGGCTGGAAATGATCAGGAAGAACTAAAATATCAAGTTTCTGACTGACTAATAATGATAATAATGACTGACTAGTCAGCTGCTGGATCACGACGCTCGCAACACGACGGTCATGGGTTTGAGTCCCAGAGAACAACACACTAAACATACAGTGAAGCTGGAAGTCACTTACACAAACATAAATAAGTGCAAGGATAAATAATAAAATAAACAAATGTCTGAAATGACTCCTCGACGTCTCATGAATCTCTGTGTGTGTGTGTGTGTGTGTGTGCGCGTGAGAAATGTTCCAGTGTCTCTTCTGAATTCCCCTCCTCTGCTGCAGACCACCCACCTGATATCAACACGCATAACTGTCTGTGCATCTGTTAAAAGTGCAATAAAACCACAGGTCTGGATCCACCCAAACCAGACAATGACTGTGTGTGTGTGTGTGTGTGTGTGTGTGTGTGTGAGAGAGAGAGAGAGAGAGAGTGTGTGTGTGTGTGTGTGTGTGTGGAGGAGGATACACTGACTGGGATGGAGAGGCAGACAGAACACAATCCTAAAAACACAAGCAGGAAAAAAACAGACAGTATTCTCTCTGAAATAAGCAAATACCCAGAAATCATCTGCGGTCAATAAAGCAAACGAACACACAGATGGCATCATCAGACTCATCTGGACTCAAACACTGTAAACCAGCCATTCCCAAACTTTACGTGAAAAAAAAAAATCGTGATATTTCAATAATTTAACAACATATTTGCATGCTCACAGTTCTCAGATTTGCTTAATAGACATCACATGACATGCAGGTAAACAAATAAAACTGTTATTTTGATCTATTTTATTTTAACATTTTAATATATAGTGCTGCAAAACTTGGCCAAAATATTATACTGCAATTATTTTGTCATGTTTGGTGATTTTGCAATGTGATTACGTCTCAAATTGCTGCTGCTGAAACCTCATTCAGGGTCTTTATTATTGCTATTATTATTATTATTATTACTTTTATCATCAACTATAAAAATGAACAAATAAATATTACTGCTGTAAATTACAGTTGTACTGTAAAATAAAACACTATAATAAAAAAAAGATGTAATATTATAAAAAAAATAATAATTTTACACTCCAACTTACCAATATTCTTAATTTTCAATCATTCAATCCTCAAGCTTTTATTTCTGAACCTTCATTTGAGAAACCTTGTAAACGACTGTCCTTCATTAATGCCTGTGAATACAGAGACTGTAACTCTAGCACATCAGTACTGTGTATTTCATCTCATTTTATTTCTAAACCCTCAGTGTTTCTGTTCTTAGATGCTCAAAGACTTAATTTGAGGATTTCCAATCTCCACCCAAATCAAAACAAAGTTAACAAGCGTTTCCTAAAGGAAACAGAAGAGATGAAAACATCTCAGAATCAGTCTAGATCATTTAAACACAAAAACACAGCAAAACTCACAGAGACGAGCAAATCACCATTCAGTGTGCAAATGAATACAAGAAAAAACACCAATCAGAACTCACCTATCATCACTGATGGTTTGATTCTGAATGCTGAACATCTCATAAAATATGAACCACACACACACCAGAAACCCCTGCAGCGTGTGTGAACATGTATGTGTTTGTTTATAACATGTAGCATTGAGATTCCAAAGAGGACTGCAATGGAAACACACACACACACACACACACACACACACACACACAGTTCTTACACAACCTACAATGTGTGTTTCTAGCAGATTAAATCAGACACACACACACACACACACACGTGTGTTTACTTAGTTATCTAAGTGGAGAGACTTACTAACCCACACATTAACCCTAAAAGAAAACTTACTGCATTTCTTCAGTTAAAAAAAACAACTTTATATTAGAAGGTTTTTGAGGTTTTGCTGGCTTCTGGGTACAAGTTTGTCCAAAAAAATATAGTGCACTCACATACACACTAAGCACTTTGACACAGAAAAACTGCAGAAAGAGAAGAAAAGCATGTCAGGCAGGAAAGAAATTCCTCATCACACATGTGTGTCTAATGTAACGTGTGTGTCTTCCAGTAATACTAACATCATGTGAACGTTGCAGAAAACCTTCAATTGGCCAAACACACACACACACACACACACACACACACACAAACAAACACACAAACATGCACAATTAAATAACACACTAAAAAACACACACACACACACACACTTAAAACATACACATTTAAAAAACACACTCTTTTAAAAAAATGCTCAAAACATATGCAAACACTTAAAACACTTATAACACATACTTAAAATACACTTAAACACTTAAAAACACACACACTTAAAACAGACTGACAAAACTGACTGAAAACAGACTTAAAACACACACACACACACACACAAACACTTAAAAATAGACTCTTATAACACACTCACTGAAAAAACAGTTACACACAGATGTAAAAAAAACACACACTTAGTACACACACAAGCACTCTATCACACTTGAGACAACCCGACACATTTTAAACAACAATGACAGAAAATACTGCAACAACTCACCCAGCTGATTGGCACGAGGTTGAAAGTTCAAAGGTCAGCCCTCAACCTGCCAGTGTGTGTGTGTGTGTGTGTGTGTGTGTGTGAGAGATGTATAAGCTCAGTGCAGAGCCACACAAACACACACTGATGTGAATCACGGCCTACCGAACGACAGAATGAGAGAATAAGTAACGAATCAGAGCAGAGAGGAGCGGAGTGGGCGGAGCCTATAGCTGAGTGGGCAGGGCCAGATACATCACTGCACTGGGGGCGGGGCTTAGGCACAGTCTGATCAACAAACCTGACACTGTCTCTCTCTCCTTCAGTCTGATTCCTGTGATGCAGGAATGATTCAAAACAAAGGAAAGAGATTCAGGTTTCTTTCAAGAACAAGATTACAATAATATCAATACATCATATTTTAAAGGGAGGAGAAAACTTTTTTTGATCAAATCATTCTGATACTGTATTGGTCGCAGGTTGATGTCTAATACACAATCCTAGTCCTGCAGATAAACCAGTGATGCAGAACTATGGGAAAGGGTCAAAGATCACTCATGGTGGCCAGTATGATGCATCATAATGCTGTTAAAGATCACATGTCAGAGGATTCATTCCGCTGCATCTGTCTGTCTGTCATCACCCATCTCTCTCATCCATCTCTCTCTCTCTCTCTCTATGTGAGTGAATGGACTCTTTGTCTGTCCGTTTCTTCTCTTCCCACTGAAACAGCACAGAGGAATCCTGGGAGCTCATGAGTGTGAGTGTGTGTGTGTGTGTGTGTGTGTGTGTGTGTGTTTTAGGAAGCAGATCACATCACGCTGTGATTCGTTTTGTGTTATGTTGGTAGACTGCAGTGAAAGCTTCCTGTGTGTGTGTGTGTGTGTGTGTTCGTACAAATTAATCATCTCATCAGAACTTCACACACACACACACACACATCAGTGTTCATCTCAGACACAATGCTGATGATACTAGATAAAGTCCCACACTAACCGTAAATCCCACATTAACTGGTTGATATCAGTACATCAAACACTCATACATATCACAAATTCCCCTATGTCACACACTCACTCACACACTCACTCTTGTCCGATCCTAACAAACCATACATCAATAGAAAGCTTATTTATTCAGCTTTCAGATTATATATTTTTTAAAATGTACCCTTATGACTGGTTTTGTGGTCCAGGGTCACATATGCATAATATATATACACAGTACACACACATATATTATGTAAACTAAAACTTTTATTTTGGATGCGATTAATTGCGATTATTCGTTTAACAGACCTACTTAATTGCAATTAGATTTAATTTTTTTAATAGTTTTAATTTTAGTTTTGTTTGGGGTTTTTTTATTTACACTTTTTCATCTAATACTTATATTTTAGTTTTTTATTAGTTTTTTAGTAGTTTAATTTTGACCGTATGTGAACAGGTTTCACTGGGTTTTGTACTGAAACCCAGCGAGTTAAACGTGCATTTCACACACAGATGACCTTCAGATTCACTGAGCAGCTCAAAGGAGGAAAATATACAAAACAGATGTGAGAGAAGGAGCCAGACAGCACTCTCACACACACACACACTCACACACTCACACACTCACACACACACTCTCACACTCTCACACACACACTCTCACACACACACACACTCACACACTCACTCACACACTCACACACTCACACACAGTTATTTTAGCTTGCTGGATGACTCACAGTGTCTTGAATGAAATAAATGAAGAGAGCGGAAAAAAGATCAACAGAAACATGAATGAATGCATGACGGATGGAAAGAAATCTTGAACAGGATCTGAGCAGTTGAATAAATTTATGTGAATGAACAAATGAATGAATGAGTCATTTGAAAGAACGAACAAGTGAAAGTCTCACCTGAATATGCGGTACGGTGTGGTCAGATCAAACGCTCTCCGATCCACTTCCTTCACATTACCAACATTCATATCAATCGAGGTGATGCCGATTCCCAGACGATAATCCTAAACACACACACACACACATACACGAAACAAACATCTTTATTTAGCTATGTAAATGGAGACATTTCTATACATTACTATGATTATCATTTTTTACTAGCATCTCTAAACTATAAATGTACACAAACACTCATATACAGTTTTAAATTATGTAATATAACATAGATCAATACAATCAGACAAAAGTAACAGCTCTCATGTTTAACACACACAAACATCAAAGAAAATGCAATTTTATAACAGTCCAGTCATGTCAAGCAACTGAATTCATAATTTAACCCTAATTTATATTAGCATTGTTTTGCATGAAAGACAGCATGCATATACATTTTCGCTTCTCAAAAGACGTAAGATGACGTGGCGGCATGAATGCAGAGAATGCGATTTAGCTCAGCCTGAACAATGAATCATTTTATTTGCACTTCATGGTAATTGTAGTTAACTAAAATGGAAACTAAAACCATAAAAAACTTGAAATGCAATAATTGCTAAGCCAAGGCAACATTTCTAATTTTCATTTAATTTAACTTGATGTGTTGAAATAACAAAAACTAAATTAATTTAAAAACAATACATTAAAAAAAAGAAACAAAAATGGCAAAAACTACTAAATTACTAAAAAGAATCACTAAAATTAAAATGAAAACAGAAAAACAAAACCTAATGCAAAACATGGATAAAGAGTATAGCAATGCTACTAAAACCCACTGTTTTACTAGTCGTCTAAATGAACTGATTCACTGAAATGAATCTGATTCCTCTGCGCTCCATTAAAGAGCTTTTCCTTTTTTTTTGTAATTGTGACCTGCCGATATCTATTTTTGCCATTTTCGATTTTCTTTCTAAAAACTATAATTGACAGCATATACAAACAAAAATCTACACTTTTTTTTAAAATGCAATTTTTTTTTTCACATCATAAAAAAATGATTAAACATTACAAAGGTGCCGAGGTGCCATAAATGCGTTTACACTGCAAACTTTCAAATGCATAGAGAATTTTCTACGATTAATGTTTTAAATATTGTTTAAACATACAAATAAGAAATGTTGGGGAAAATGCAATGATAGTTTTAAATATGAAACCAAACCAGTAGGTGGCGTTAAATGACCGTTTGAATGAGTGACTCATTTAGTCCTTCATTCAACAGATTCGTTCAAACGGCCGATTCATTCAGAAACGAGGAACGTGACTTCTGTCTGTACGAATGGGTTACTGAATCATTGACTCACTTGACAGGGTTTCTGCAGGATTTTTAAGACCTTTTTTAAGACCCGCACAAATAAAATGAATACCATATGAGCGGGGCAATGTCTAGAGTACCATATTAAACTGTAAAATTACTTTAAAAAGCATAATTTACAGCTCAGTGACAGCATATACAAACAAAAATCTACACTTTTTTTTAAAATGCAATTTTTTTTTTCACATCATAAAAAAATGATTAAACATTACAAAGGTGCCGAGGTGCCATAAATGCGTTTACACTGCAAACTTTCAAATGCATAGAGAATTTTCTACGATTAATGTTTTAAATATTGTTTAAACATACAAATAAGAAATGTTGGGGAAAATGCAATGATAGTTTTAAATATGAAACCAAACCAGTAGGTGGCGTTAAATGACCGTTTGAATGAGTGACTCATTTAGTCCTTCATTCAACAGATTCGTTCAAACGGCCGATTCATTCAGAAACGAGGAACGTGACTTCTGTCTGTACGAATGGGTTACTGAATCATTGACTCACTTGACAGGGTTTCTGCAGGATTTTTAAGACCTTTTTTAAGACCCGCACAAATAAAATGAATACCATATGAGCGGGGCAATGTCTAGAGTACCATATTAAACTGTAAAATTACTTTAAAAAGCATAATTTACAGTTCAAATACAAGTTTTCACAAAAACAAAAAGTTTTATAAATGATAAACTTTACATTTCAGCCTTTAAACCATTTTTAAGAAAATGGACGAGTCAAAAGTATTAATTATTACATTAATTTAAACAATTATTATGAATAAATTGCTATATAAATTAAATAACATAAATTAGGGGTGTGCGATGCTGACAAAAAATGATATCTCGATATTATCTGGGATTTTATCGATAACGATAATTAGAGGATATTTTGCTGAGTGTGTTATTGTGCTGATATCTTAAGAAGTACCGTGGACAGCTGACTCCTGAATTTTTTTTTATATTCTTCATATTCTGTGGTCAGTTCACAGCAGTGATAGAAATTAATCTTTTCCAACAAGTTTTATGGGCATTTTTACATTTAAGCCATTTGTTCTAAAAGTGTGCATCATCTTTTGAGTCAAATTCTTGCATTTGGGCTGTTACCAAGCAAATGAAATCAGTATCAACTAAATGTATCTTTGCAATGCAGAGGAAACACAGAAGCTGCATTAGAAGTGGCATTTAGATGCATTTACACACTGTTTAATGCAGCTCTGAAGGACATGGAATACTTTAACCTGCCGTTACAAATGCATAAATAATGTTTTGATATTTTAAACATAAAACATTGAAAACTGATGTTTGAAATCATTTTAAAAAATGAAAAGATACTTTAAATGTGAAATTAAAACCGCCAGCAGGTGGCAGCAAGTCACTGTTAATAAGTGAGGCATTGCGTTTGAACCGAATCATTTAAACGGTTGATTCATTCAGGAACGAAACACCGTCATGTTGCTCAGAGACACAAAACAGCGCTGTGGCTGTGTTTCGAATGATTTTTGATTTTTGGAGAAAAAAACGGCACACTTCGTGTGATATTAACTATATGAAATTATATAAATATATACATTTTCTGCCCCCATATCTAGAATTATGAGATAATTCTATCGCTTTTCGCGATATACTCGATAATGTCAAATCGCACATCGTTAAAACTACAATTACGATATTATCGCAGACCATACAGATCGCGCACCTTACTCGGTTTAGATTTTTATAATGCATTGTCTTCTTATCGATCCACCAGTTCACATTTAACGCTCTGCGTGTTCGCAGGGTAAAAACATGGGTCGATTTTAGCGTGCAGCGCTCGTGTTTATTCAATGAAATCATAGCCTTTTGAGGTTTAATCATCACATTCAGCCATATCGCCATTCTGGTCTTTCCGTCCCCAAATTTAAGACCTCTTGAAATCATAATTAAGACTTTCTTGTAAAATTTAAGACTTTTTAAAGGCCTTCGATTTGATACAACTAAAATTAAGGCTTTTTAAGACCCTGCGGAAACCCTGCTTGATTCGTTCAAAAACGTGGATTCATTCAGTAACGAAACACCGCTGTGTTGCTCGCAGACACAAAACAGCTCTGCTGTGGAACTACTTTTATCAGCGAAATTGAGCAAACACAGTCAATATTGTGTCTAAAATGTAAGTCACTTAATTCTAACTTCTAACTTCTAACTACTATTGTATAAAATCACATTGCAATCGTGTTGACACACTTTGGGTGTGCAATGTTGCGTACCTAACTCATACATGGGTCAATATCACCATAGAGTGCCTTTCAACCTTCGCAATACTCACACATTTTGGTCTTAATTTCCCATTCGTTTGATGTCATAAATAGTAGACACTTAAGTACTATAAAAACATATTAGCTGAGCTCCCACACATTTTTTTTTTTTAATTATGGGCCATTATTCAAAGCATAAACCATAAGACATGTCCACCCTGTCAAGGACACATATATTACTGTTAAATATGTTTTCATTGCAATATTAAGATGCAAATTATATTTTCTGAAAGGTATGATGTCCCTTTCCAAAAACAGGGCTATTTGTTTGCTTTCAAATTATAAATACATAAAAGATTTTTTTATTGAACTACTATTGTATAAAATCACATTGCAATCGTGTTGACACACTTTGGTTGTGCAATGTTGAGTACCTAACTCATACATGGGTCAATATCACCAAAGAGTGCCTTTCAACCCTCACAATACTCACACATTTTGGTCTTAATTTCCCATTCGTTTTATGTCATAAATAGTAGACACTTAAGTACTACAAAAACATATTAGCTGAGCTCCCACACATTTTTTTTTTTTTAATTATGGGCCATTATTCAAAGCATAAACCATAAGACATGTCCACCCTGTCAAGGACACATATATTACTGTTAAATATGTTTTCATTGCAATATTAAGATGCAAATTATATTTTCTGAAAGGTATGATGTCCCTTTCCAAAAACAGGGCTATTTGTTTGCTTTCAAATTATAAATACATAAAAGATTTTATGTAAACCATGTGTTTTTTGTTTGCATGTTATTGCCCCCACACCTAGCTATTGAACACACTGGATTATATAGATATGATTTAATTATTATTTAAAAATGCCCATCCCTTCTATCCAATAAAAGCATTCTGAAGTCGAGTGAGCTGCTGTTAATGCTACTGAAGTCTGTATTAAAGTCAGTAGTGTGACTAGTGTTAGTTTTATTTCTGAAGACAGACAGATTGAGGGTTTACCTCTGTGTTTTTGTAGAGGAAGACTTTATCCACACACACCACTGTGTAGAGTTTAGAGCGCAGGCCGCGCAGCTCCAGGTAACCCTTCATCTCGTAGCTCACGCAGGGGTTAAAGGTCATGTCCAGACTGGTGCTTGCGTGAGACGCTCCGACACAGCTCTTCAACACCGTCACCCACTCGCTCCGCTCCACTGACACACACACACACACAGTGAACACACACACACACAGTGAACACACACAGATACACACACACACAGTGAACACACACACACACACACACACAGTGAACACACACACAGACACACAGATACACACACGCACACACACAGTGAACACACACAGATACACACACACACACAGATACACACACACACACACACACAGAACACACACACAGACACACACACACACACACACACACACACACAGAACACACACACATACACACACACACACAGATACACACACACACACACACAGATACACACACACACACACACACACACACACTTCAGTCATTTCACTGAGCATACTGTTTACACACACCATCATACTAGCATGTATGATATATGTGTCCCGTGGTGGCAAAATGAGTGTGAATTTACTACATTTTGAGCTACACGCAACAAAAAGTGAAAAATGACGATTTTAGTTGAATTTGAGGTTTTCACAAAAATGAATTCATCAAGCCCTCGTCTAGCGATCCTAATGCTCCAAACAGTAATTAAACATCTAAAAGTATCTTTATTTGCACGTTTTCTGAGAGGAGTATCTTTTCTCCGCTCGCTTCTCGCTCTGACTATCACCCGATAAATATACACATCTACACAGAATTGCAGTATTTAAGTATTCGTGCAAACATAATCTGTTAGGTCTTAAGTGAACGTTTGGGCAACTGTTGGGGAAAAACATCTGATGTGTAACATTATATTAGATCCGTGTATTACAGCAGGTATTAATATATCGTCCGTCTGTCGCATTAATGTTAATCTAACAATAAAAGAAAAGAGAGAATCACTCGCGGTTCTCGATTGAACTGCTTTTGTAGTTTCCACTAAAGGGATTTTTACATTTGATTATTAGTTTTTCTTACTTGAATGCTTTTGTTAAATGTAAAATGAAAAAGGTAATGCATTATATGATTCTTTCTTATGTTTGTTCTACTGTTTCTTTTGTTGTTGTTGCATCTGTTCTTATTTATAATAACACAGTCATTTTTTGTCCGATTCCAACAAATCATACATCATTTTGAAGGTCTTTTAATTGAGAATATGAAAATAAAAATTGTTTATTGTTTACTGTTACTGCACGGTTTCTCAAACTGGGGTTTTGTGAGTTGATGAAAAGCTAACAAGTCATTAAATCATGAAAAAAAATATTGTTATTAAAATTAATTATCATAACAATAAATTAAAATAATAACAATCAGAATAAACACTTAAATATTGTAACTATTATTATTATTATTAGAAAAAAATACATGTTTTTGTTTATTCTTCACCGGAAAGACATAGTTTGTAATAATTACAATAATGATAAATTAATAATTTTATAATAACAATTTAAAATAAAAACAATCAAAATAAACACTTACTTAAATATTCAATGTTATTAATATTATTATTTTTATTTAAATATAGTATAGTAAATTTATTTTGTTCATTCTTTACCAGAATGACACAGTCTTCTGTTGTTAGGCCAAATCATTTTAAGTAATTAATTACTTTAATTAATTAAAAAAATAAATAAAAAATAAAATAAATTAATTATAATAGTAATTAAAAATAAAAACAATCAAAATAACACTTATTTAAACATTAAATGTTATTTGTATTATTATATTATATTATTCTTTATAATATTATAAAATTAAAAATGTAAAATTTTATTTGTTTATTCTTCACCAGAAAGACAAAGTTCTGTTTGTGAGTTTGTAACCGTGTTGTGTGCATGTTGGTGTGTATTTATGTTGTTGTTTTATAAAATATTAAATAACACATTTAATAAAATATAGTTTTATAAAATAATTTTGTAATAAATATTTTTATAAAAAATAACACTGATTAATAATAATAATAATAATAATATAATTAAAATATTAATATTATAATATGATAATTAAAATAAAGAAAGATTAAATATTTTATTTGTTTATTCTTCCCCAGAAGAAGACAGTTCTGTGTGTGTGTGTGTGTGTGAGAGTGTGAAAGAAAGTGTGTGTGTGTGTGTGTGAGTGTGAAAGAAAGTGTGTGTGTGTGTGTGTGTGAGAGTGTGAAAGAAAGTGTGTGTGTGTGTGTGTGTGTGTGTGTGTGTGTGAGTGAGTGAGTGATTGAGTGACTGAGTGAGTGAGTGAGTGAGTGTGTGTGTGTGTAACTGTGTGTTTTGTGCATGTCAGTGTTTATTTGTGTTGTGAGGTCAGTTGTTCACATTAGCTTTAGTTTCACCAGACCACAAAACCTCACTGATCATCAGTGTGTATCTCATTCGCAAACACGCCTAATTCATGTGCTTTAAACAACACACACACACACACACACAGTCTGTACACTCACAGTCGCTCTCGGCTCGGAACAGGAAAGTGCGATTGTGCGTCACCACTTCAAACTTCTGCTCTCCCACATTGACCACGCCGGTGATGGACACTGTAGGGATGACTCCCTCTCTCTCTCTCTCTCACACACACACACACACACTCCCTCTCTCTCTCTCTCACACACACACACACACACCCTCTCTCCCTCTCTCTCTCTCACACACACTCCCTCTCCCTCTCTCTCTCACACACACACACACACACACACACACAGTCTGTACACTCACAGTCGCTCTCGGCTCGGAACAGGAAAGTGCGATTGTGCGTCACCACTTCAAACTTCTGCTCTCCCACATTGACCACGCCGGTGATGGACACTGTAGGTATGATCCTCTTCGAGTAGACGTCCTGCATACACACACACACACACACACACACACAGGCGTTTAATCGTCCCATCAGCAGCGGATGTTAAAGGACATGTGCGGTGAGACGCATTCGTTCAACACTGAAGAACAGCAGGTCTTTTCACATGCCACAAAGAGTTTGACTCTACACACGTGACTTTACCCAATCAGAATCACCTTCTCAGTGTCGAAGTATCTCAGGTATTCAGCATCCAGTTTGACCCAGCGGCGCTGGTAGATCAGAGACCTGCACACACACACACACACACACACACACACACGCACACACACACACACACACAAACACACACACACACACACACATTAAATTAATGCTTTAGCTTCAGTAGATGTTAATCTCCATCAAAAGAATCTGTAGAATCATGTCTACTACCACAATAAGTCAAATCGAGTTCATTTCTATAGTGCTTTATGCAATAAAGATCACTTTGCACTTGTAAACGGCGTTGCAAAATTGTTGAGTCAGGATTAAATTAATTCGGCTCTAATTATTACTTCTATTTTAACTATAAAGCAGCTCTACAGAAAACAATAGTGCAGTTTAGTTTAGTTATTTTGTGACCTCACTGCAAAACCAATATAGTTAACTGAAAAGTAATTGTCTTCAAGCTCCCAAATAACTACCGGTACAAAATGGTAGAAATGTTCGATCATTTATGCAAGTATAAAAGCGTGTTATTTCAGCTGTAAAGTGTCTAAAATATGATCTGTGTGTGTGTGATTTTGTGTTTATGTAAAAAGGTGTAATTTTCAGGGATAATCGTACATTCAAAGGGAAAGTGACCGTGTTTAGTGGCATGTTAACGTGCATAATTTTGAATCTTGTGATTGTACTATTGAAACGGTGCATTTTAATGTTTATTTCCATGTTTTTGTGCCTTATCAGAGTTTCTCAAATGGGTTTGTGCATTGATAAATGCTAAAAATTTAATAACAAAAAATTTTAAATAATTTTTAAAATGTAAAAATAATTATATTAATACGAATAAAAAACTAAAAATAATTTAAAAAATAGTAAAAAGGATAAAATATTCATATCATGTGATCATTAACTGACTTAAGAGAGTTGTGCACATGCAAAAATTACTAAAAATATTTTAATAAATACTTTAATTAAAAATAAGTCCATCAAGAGGAAAAGCTCACAGATAAACATAGAAACTGCAGTTTCCTCATTTCAAATTTCTCCACATGTTAGACTAATTTATAATAGATTTTTTGAGCTTATCCGACAAATTATTTCTACATTTAAAAACTTCTATTTGGCGTGGATGTCTCACAGCTTTTTTGCTGGTCTGTTTTAAATAAATATTTTAATAATATAATATACAAATATTTTAGATCATTAATGGGTTTAGCGGACAGAAACTGCTGTTCTGAATCTGACAGGCACCATGAAATCACGTGGAAGTCCAAATCAAACTCAATACTTAGAAATAAATCAGACAGAATTGTCTATTAGTCTCACATTAGTTACATTGTTGAAACTAAATCACACAAGCGAAAGAAAACGGATTTTCACTCAGGAGCTGCTGGTAAATTTGACAATTAATTCTAAATAAATGGTATGAATCATTAAATACATTTTTAAAAAATTGATGTAGAAATACTTCAAAATGTGTAGATTGCACATGCAGCTTTGCTTTAAGGCAGCAATCTCTTGAAAATATGAAATGGCTGGGAATTCTGATTCAGTTTAGGGAATCAGTTCATTCAAAGGAGTCATTTAAAAGAACCAGTTCAAAAATTAAATCCTGAAATGTGACCCTGGAGCACAAAAGCAGTCATATATTTGTAGCAATAGCAAACCCATTGTACGGGTCAAAATTATCCATTTCTCTTTTATGCCAAAAATCATTAGGATATTAAGTAAAGATCATGTTCCATGAAGATATTTAGTAAATTTCCTACCGTAAATATATCAAAACTTAATGTTTGATTAGTAATATGCATTGCTAAGAACTTCATTTGAACAACTTTAAAGATGATTTTCTCAATATTTAGATTTTTTTGCACCCTCAGATTCCAGATTTTCAAATAGTTGTATCTCAGCCAAACCTAACAAACCATACATCAATGGAAAGCTTGTTTATTCAGCTTTCAGATGATGCATAAATCTCAATTTCTTAAAAATGGCCCTTATGACTGGTTTTGTGCTCCAGGGTCACAAATGTTCAAAAGTCAGTGTGAAATCAAAACACACACGCACCCCTGAGGAGGATTCTTGTCCAGCCAGCCCACTTTAATCACGGGGACGCTGGTGGAGGCGGGGTCTTCCCGAGGGGGCGGAGCACTGACGTGGCCTGTGATTGGCAGGTAGATGCTGCTCTGAGAGCCGGAGATCGAACCCAAATCTTCGATCCATGAACTCCGTCTGAGAGAGAGAGAGAGAGATGAGATCAGCACAAGAGGGAAGTGTTACATCACATTGCAACACGACATGAATTTCTCATATTGCCCAATCAACATCAACAAACTAAATTTAACTGTACAATGACAAATCAGGAACATACACATTGGCAAAATCGCTAACAGCAGGAAAATAAAAGCAACTCACTTCAGGGACACAGATTCGTAAGAGATGGCGTCATCGTCTAGTAGCTCGTCGTCGCTGCACAGGCTGCTGTAACGGGGTTTCGTCGCCTTGGGAACCATCAAGGACATCTATTGGAGGAAGCAGCTGTCAATCATACAGCGTCTGTCGCTATTGGACAATTCTGGGAATAAAACAACGCACCTTGCTGGCCATGTCTATGAGTTTAGCGTCTCTGCTGAGCTTGCGCTCGTCATATTCATCTGAACTTTCATCTGAATCCAACTCTACACAGAAGAGAACAGAATGAGGGAAACGGGAAGAGATATAGAGATGCAGATACATTTCAATGCACACACACACACACACACACACACACACTAACACTCACTCACACACACTCACACAAACTCACACACACACACTCTCACACAAACTCACACACACTTCACACTCACATACACACACACTCTCACACACACTAAAACTCACTCACTCACTCTCACACACACTAAAACTCACTCACTCATTCTCACACACACACACACACACACACACTAACACTCACGCACGCACACACACACGCACACACACACACACAAACTCACACACACACACACTCTCACACACACTTCACACTCACACACACTTCACACTCACACACACACACACACACACACACATACACACTAAAACTCACTCACTCATTCTCACACACACACACACTAACACTCACTCACTCTCATGCACACACACTCACACTCACTCATACATTCACACACACAGGCATGCAAACACTCACACGTGTACTCACGCACACACACACACACTCATACATGCACACTCACTCACACACTCTCACACACACACACACACACTCTCACACACACTAACTCACTCACTCTCACACACACACACAGCTTTACATGTGATACAGATTTGCCATCAGGTCAGTGTTGCCATCAACGGGCAACCAGGTGAGACACAGGGCCCACGACTGATCTAAAGGATCCAGATAGGAATTTGTTAACCACTCAATGGGAAAGTGCCCAAGCACCATTGCTCAAAAAAAGTTGCCTGGCAAAATTGCTCGAAATGTTGTATCATCAGTCTAAGTGCTACTAGAGATCATTAAAATCTGGTCTGACGAGATCTGCGGCTCCAGCTGCGGCGGTTCACACAGAGAAACTCAACAAAAGAAGATGACAAATTGATAAAGAATATCAAATCGATTTACACACTATCTCACTCACTCTCACACACACACACAGCTTTACATGTGATACAGATTTGCCATCAGGTCAGTGTTGCCATCAACGGGCAACCAGGTGAGACACAGGGCCCACGACTGATCTAAAGGATCCAGATAGGAATTTGTTAACCACTCAATGGGAAAGTGCCCAAGCACCATTGCTCAAAAAAAGTTGCCTGGCAAAATTGCTCGAAATGTTGTATCATCAGTCTAAGTGCTACTAGAGATCATTAAAATCTGGTCTGACGAGATCTGCGGCTCCAGCTGCGGCGGTTCACACAGAGAAACTCAACAAAAGAAGATGACAAATTGATAAAGAATATCAAATCGATTTAAATATGTGACCACTCAATGGGAAAGTGCCCAAGCACCATTGCTCAAAAAAAGTTGCCTGGCAAAATTGCTCGAAATGTTGTATCATCAGTCTAAGTGCTACTAGAGATCATTAAAATCTGGTCTGACGAGATCTGCGGCTCCAGCTGCGGCGGTTCACACAGAGAAACTCAACAAAAGAAGATGACAAATTGATAAAGAATATCAAATCGATTTAAATATGTGACGATTCAAATCGGTTGAGATGCTAAACAAATCACGATTCAATAAGGGGTAACGTTAGGAGTTTATATGAATGCATGTCTGAGGGGAACTTATTCTTTCGATGTTTTTTTTTTTTTTCCTCTTGCCTCTGTATAATGCATATTAAAGTTCATAAGTAATAACCCAGGAAACACTGTATCATTGCTGTTCATAAGCGCAGCGCTGCTTGTTTACAGCAGTAACCAAGGAAACACCGTATCATTGCTGTTCATAAGCGCAGCGCTGCTTGTTTACAGCAGTAACCAAGGAAACACCGTATCATTGCTGTTCATAAGCGCAGCGCTGCTTGTTTACAGCAGTAACCAAGGAAACACCGTATCATTGCTGTTCATAAGCGCAGCGCTGCTTGTTTACAGCAGTAACCAAGGAAACACCGTATCATTGCTGTTCATAAGCGCAGCGCTGCTTGTTTACAGCAGTAACCAAGGAAACACCGTATCATTGCTGTTCATAAGCGCAGCGCTGCTTGTTTACAGCAGTAACCAAGGAAACACCGTATCATTGCTGTTCATAAGCGCAGCGCTGCTTGTTTACAGCAGTAACCAAGGAAACACCGTATCATTGCTGTTCATAAGCGCAGCGCTGCTTTGTTTACAGCGGTAACCGAGGAAATGCTTTAAGAGTGAATCTGCGTCTCGTTCAGCTCGTCCACTGTTTCTGTTTCATGCTGATATTTTTATGTATAGTTTCACAAAACTGAAGTCAGACCATTCTGTTTTTGCTTCAAACGTAGATTAAAAACGGCTGGTGTTGCATGTGTGCAGCATCTTTGTTTGGATCATGATTAAAATGCAGTGGTTGCCTCTAGTTTTAAATGTTAAGAGCACAGACAAAGCCTTATTTTGTTTATATGAAGAGATTTATTTTATTTGTGTTACTTATTTATTTGATTTGGGGCTTGTTTTAAAATTTCTATTTAGTTTTGTTATTTACATTTACATTATATTTAAATTTGGTCATTTAGCAGATGCTTTTATCCAAAGCGACTTACAAATGAGGACAACAGAAGCAATCAAAACTAACAAAAGAGCAATAATATACAAGTGCTATATTATTATAGTGTTATATTTCAATTTCACAAAAAAACGTATTTTGTCCAAGCAATAATAAAAGGACACATTTAATTTATAATTTGTCTTAAATCTAATTTTGTTTAAAAACAAATCGTGGATCAAATCGAATCGTGAGTTGAGTGAATCGTTACATCCCTAGTTACCCCCAACACTGCTTGCGCAGAGCAGACGGTCTACTCACTGTTTGTGTTCGGCGGCGCTGGGACGTCTCTCCTTTGGCTCTCTGGTCTGATGATCCGAGGCGGGACGTCTGGGACTCGATCCGTGTCTGACGGATCATCTACAGGAGCGCTGGAGGAGCAGACAGAGGAAGACTCATCATTGCTCAGATCTGAGGACAGTCTGCTGAGCAGCCGACCGAACTTCTTCATGGTGAGGATTCGACGCTAGCGGCAGACAGAGAGAGATCAGGTTCGTGTCGCCGCACGCCTCTGAGTTCAGAAACAGCTGACGCAACACGTTCAATGAGAGCAGATAGAAATCGACCAACACACCTGTACTGATCTTCACACGAGTCACACAGACAGAATCCTTCCATTAAAGTCACATAAAAATCATAATAGACTTGACTTTATGTTTCTGCTAGATTTTTGTTCATTTAATAACTTTGTTAAAACTTCCTGTATATTACATCATACTACAAATCCATGTTTGCATAATAACTATAGGATTAACAACAACACAGTGTAAGCTGCTCCAGGAAGTAATTATTAAATACAAGCTGTGCGATGATTAATTAGGGTATTAATCATTATTTTCTATTCACATCACTGGTCAAAATTTTGGAACACGAAATATGACGTTTAATATTTTTGAAAGAAGTCTCTTTTGCTCATCAAAGCTGCATTTATTTGATTAAAAATTGTGAAATATATTTACAATGTAAAATATCTGTTTTCTATGAATCTCTGTTAAACTGTAATGTATTTCTGTGATGCGCAGCTGTATTTTCAGCATCATTCCTCCAGTCTTCAGTGTCACATGATCTTCAGAAATCAGTATAATATGCTGATCTGCTGCTCGAGAAACATTTCTGATTATTATCAATGTTGAAAACAGTCGTGCTGCACAATATGTTAGTGGAAACCGTGATGCATTTTGTTTTTAAGGATTCACAGATGAATAGAAAGTTCAAAAGAACAGCGTTTATTTGAAATAGAAATCTTTTGTAACATTATAAATTACTTTACTGGCACTTCTGATCAATTTAATGTGTCCTTGATGAATATAAGTATTAATTTTTACAAACTTTTGAATGGTAATGTATCACAAATTTAACAAAAATATGTGACACTGAAGACTGGAGTAATGATGCTGAGAATTCAGCTTTGATCACGGAAATAAATTACAGTTTAACAGATATTCACAGTTATTTTAAATGATAATATTTCACAATTTTACTGTATGTTTGATCAAATAAATGCAGCCTCGGTGAGCAGAAGAGACTTCTTTCAAAAACATAAAATAATTCAGCTGCTAGTACATTTGTCTGATAAACTTGTTCTAAATCATAAACACAACAGACAGCAAGTCTTACTGCAGCAGTAAAAATAAATTCTGCAGCGTGTTCTCACACAATAAACCCTGAGTAAATGTGAATAAAAGATGGACTTGGCCACGTTTCAAAAGCTGTCTGACATTCACCCTACATTTACAGAGAATACAGGAATTCACAGGTTTATTTCAGAATCAGCAGCGTTTGTTGAACATTTATTGGACTGGAAACACATTTCCTGATGTGTGTTAAAGATCAGGCTCATGTGGACGGTCAAACAATGCTGCTTCCTGAGTCCAGCGGAACAACATCGGTTTTACAAAACAAAACATCAGCTAAAGACTGAATTATGAATGAAGTCTTCACTAAGCGCTTCAGCTCTGTAACTTCAGAAATACTGTTGCACTCTCGCAAAAGAAAAGATATCAGGATGAACAAACTTCCTGTTTGTTGCTGCCGTGTGTTTTGAGTTTGAGCTCCGTCAAGTAAATTATATATCGTCTATTTTTTATCTTAAAATCAATTTTATACACCATCATTTTCGTTTCTATAACGTGTGAATATATCCCTGATCGTATTCTACAACAAAAACAATCAGAGCGCCTTGTTATCACTAGTTTTATTTTGATTTCCCAAGTCCGCTATTAGCATATAGCCCGTTAGCATCGCCAGCGTGGTTGCCGCTAATCTCGCTTACATTGCTAATACTCTATTCACACACATTACCATTGTTTTACTCACTGTTACTTGCTTTAATGGCGGATGTGTGTCTACCTTTGAGTGCAGGTGAGGACACGTTCGAGATGCATTCGGTGCAGGTCGAGCTGGAGGCCGTGGAGAAGCAGATCCGGGACCTGGTGGCAAAGCAGACCCAGCTGAGAGAGTGGAGAGCCGCGCTGGAATCATCCCAGGCTGACGCTCACAAGTCCGAGGTAAGTATACAGCCCGCTGCTAACTCTCCCACCACCTCTACTCCGTGTGTTTCTCTGCACAGGCCCGGTGCACCCAGGACGTGATCTTCCCAGATGTCCTTCACTCCGGCGCCAGGACACCACGGACCCTGGGTGCACCCGCAGCGGAAGACGCGAGCCAGGCCCCGGGCGACGACCTCTCCCCCTCCGCCGCCTCCGGTCTTCGAGATCTCCACCCGGAACTGCTTCGCTCCCCTCCGCGACATGGAACGCGACGCTGTGATCGTCGGAGAATCCATTGTCCGGCACGTCCGTGCTACGATAGCGGAAGGTAAAGTGCACACCCACGGTTTCCCTGGTGCTTGTGTTCTCGATGTTTCTGCGCAAATACCCGCGATCCTGAAGAGCGACGAGAGCGACGAGAGCCCCGGAGCGGTCGTGCTTCACGCCGGGGTTAACGACACCAAGCTGCGGCAGACGGAGACACTGAAGAGGGACTTCAGGAGCCTGATCGAGACGGTGCGCCGCACATCGCCCGCGACGACGATCATCGTGTCAGGACCGCTTCCCACGTATCGAGGAGGACACGAAAGGTTCAGTAGACTTTTTGCTTTAAATTAATGGTTATTGTTATGATGTAAAGAACAGAAACTGCTCTTTGTTAATAAATGGAATCTTTTCTGGGAGCGTCCTAGGCTTTTTCACGCTGATGGTCTGCATCCCAGCAGAGTCGGAGCGGAGCTCATGTCGGACAACATCTCCAAATTCCACATTCAAATAACTGCCCTGATGACTTGTGTTCTACCCGCTTAAATGATAGAAGTACTTGTGCTGTCCAATCTATAAAGACTGTGTCTGTTCCCCGAATAGTGAGGTCAAAATATAAATTTAATGCAGGATCTAGAAAAAATCTGATCGTGATTAAACCAGAACAATTTAAAATAAATGAACAAAAACCATTTTTAAAGTTTGGGCTCCTAAACATTAGATCACTCTCACCCAAAGCAGTTATTGTAAATGAAATGATCACAGATAATCGTTTTGATGTACTCTGCTTGACTGAAACCTGGCTAAAACCTAATGATTATATTGGTCTAAATGAGTCTACTCCACCAAGCTACTATTATAAGCATGAGCCCCGTCAGACTGGTCGTGGTGGTGGTGTTGCAACAATATATAGTGATATTCTCAATGTTACTCAGAAGACAGGATACAGGTTTAACTCATTTGAAATACTAATGCTTAATGTTACACTGTCAGATATGCAAAAGAAATCTATCGTATCTCTTGCTCTGGCTACTGTGTATAGACCACCAGGGCCGTATACAGATTTCCTAAAAGAATTTGCAGATTTCCTCTCAGACCTATTGGTTACTGTTGATAAAGCGCTAATTGTCGGAGATTTTAATATTCACGTTGATAATACAAATGATGCATTAGGACTTGCGTTTACTGACCTAATAAACTCTTTTGGAGTAAAGCAAAATGTCACCGGGCCCACTCATCGTTTTAATCATACGCTAGATTTAATTATATCGCATGGAATTGATCTTACTGATATAGATATCGTACCTCAAAGTGATGATGTTACTGACCATTTCCTTGTATCGTGCATGCTGTGTATTACTAATATTAACTATATGGCTCTGCGTTATCGTCCGGGCAGAACTATTGTTCCAGCCACCAAAGACAGATTCACAAATAACCTGCCTGATTTATCTCAACTGCTCTGTGTACCAATAAGTACACATGAACTAGACGAAATAACTAGCAACGTGGGCACTATCTTCTCTAATACATTAGAAGCTGTTGCCCCCATCAAATTGAAAAAGGTTAGAGAAAAACGTACTGCGCCATGGTACAACAGTAATACCCATTCTCTCAAGAAAAAACTCATAGTCTTGAGCGCAAATGGAGAAAAACTAACTTGGAAGTTTTTAGAATTGCGTGGAAAAACAGTATGTCCAGCTATAGACAGGCTCTAAAAGCTGCCAGGGCCGAGCACATCCACAAACTCATAGAAAATAACCAAAACAATCCTAGGTTTTTATTTAGCACAATGGCTAGATTAACAAATAACCAGACGCCAACTGATCTAAATATTCCCTCACAGTTTAATAGTAATGACTTTATGAATTTCTTCACTGATAAAATAGATAACATCAGAAATACAATAGCAAATGTAGATTCTACAGCGTATAATACTTCAGCTTCACTCATCGCACCCAAAGATAAACTGCAGTGCTTTACAACTATAGGACAGGAAGAGCTAAATAAACTTATCACTGCATCTAAACCAACAACATGCCTGTTAGATCCTGTACCCACTAAATTACTAAAAGAGTTGCTACCTGAATCAGAAGAACCGTTTCTCAATATTATTAACTCGTCGTTGTCTTTAGGTCACGTCCCAAAACCATTCAAGCTGGCGGTTATTAAGCCTCTTAAAGGGGTCATATGATGCGATTTCAATGTTTCCTTTCACTTTGGAGTGTTACAAGCTCTTGGTGCATAA